TCTGCATTCCTATCCTCTATATTGCTAATTCTTTCCTCCATATTGTCAGGTTTGTTCTTTAAAGACTCCAGATTTTTCTTTATCTCCTCCATTGTGTTTTTCATCTCCAACATTTCTGATTGGTTTTTCTTTATAGTGTCAATCTCTTTTGTGAAGAAGTTCCTGATTTCATTGAACTGTCTATCTGTATTTTCTTATAACTTGTTGAGCTTTTTTATGATAGCTCTTTTGATTTCTCCATCCTTTAGACTATTAATTTTTGTGCCTTCAGGATTGATTTCTGGGTGCTTGTCATTTTCCTTCTGGTCTGGAGATTTAACATATTTTTGCATACTGTTTGACGGTGTGGGTTTGTTTTTCCTCATACTGATAATATCTGGTCACAGCTTCCACCTGCCACCACTGGGTGGGGGGTCAAGAGCTGTGTATTCTGAGCTGGCCATGATCCATGGGCACTTTGGCCAACCGGCTGAGCTGAAGCTTTATTTTGCCTGCCTCATCCTGGGGGCTTCTCGCTCTCCCCTTGCTATCTGCTCTCCTGGGGAGCTAGCTTGATGAAGACATCCCCACAACAGTTCAGTCCCCTCCATGTGGGAGTTTCCCATGGGCTGTGAGGGAACTTGGAGAGTGATGGTTTTCCCATGGAGGGCTGCCCCTCCCCCCCGAGAGCCACACAGTCCCAGTCCCAGGTCGCTGCTGTTGGGGAGGGAGAGGAGTTCTCCTTACCTCCTTCCACTTCCTCCGGAGGTTCCAACACGTCTACCTTCAGATGTAAGGCTGCGTGCATCTCTTAGATGTCTTTTGTGTTTTGTGACTGTCCTCTGCTGGTATATGAATGTCCTTTTTGTTGTATCTTAGGGGGGAAAGTTTAAGGGGAGATCTCACTCTGCCATGATGCTGACATCACTCTCAGTATTTCCTTCTTTTTTAAGGCTGAAATATTATATATATTCATACCACATTTTCTTGATCCATTCATCTGTTGATGGGACACTAAGGCTGTTTCCATATCTTGACTATTGTGAATAACACTGCAATGGACATGAGGGTATAGATAGCTCTTCAAGATAATGGTTTTGTGTCCTTTTGATACATACCCAGAAGTGGGATTGCTGGATCATACGGTAGTTCTATTTTTAATGTCTTGTTTTGTGTGTGTGTGTGAGAGAGAAAGATTAGCCCTGAGCTAACATTCAATGCCAATCCTCCTCTTTTTGCTGAGGAAGATTGGCCCTGGGATAACATCCATTCCCATCATCCTCTACTTTATATGGGATGCTGCCACAGAATGGCTTGATAAGTGGTGCATTGGTCTGCACCCAGGATCCGAACCTGTGAACCTCAGGCCACCAAGGCAGAGTGCACGAACTTAACCACTATGTCACAGGATGGGCCCCAAGGAAACTCTATATTGTTTTCCATAGTGGCTATACCAGTTTGCATTCCTACATAAATAACATTTTAAGTACAAAATAACTATATTTCCTAAAATAAAAAAAATTAATGAGAAGAGTGGCATTGTTGTGCATTTTTACAAGTCTCTTTAATGTCTGGCTTAATAGAAGACAGCTGGAATCTCATATCTGCTTCTGCATTTAATCTGTTATAATATGCTTTCTGGATGAAAGCCTATGAAGAATATCTGGCCTTGCACAGACATGCAGTTGGAAAAGAGAGGAGTATTAGCTTTTTCAAGTAATCATGAATATTCTTCTTTAATACTACAGCAAAACTTGACAAATAGTAGTTTCTTAAAGGTTAGTTGCAACATGGAATCTGAAACCACATCCGTGAATTTTTTGTACTTTGTTATATCAAAATTCCACTGGTCTATCTTGTACCTTGAGCAGATCATTTATCCATGCATGATTTTGTAACATCAGGCATTGATCATCTGGAAAATTTTGGTTCACTGAGATATGCAGATCCTCCAGATGTTGACACATCCCATTGTACAATATCAAAAAATCACATTTATTAATAACAACATTGATCTCATTGGAAAAATCTTATAGTATCAGGCAGTTTTCAAGCTTATGATGGCAGATACAAATCTTCCACAATTCTAATTTTTGTTGGAAAGTTCAAATTTTATCAGTGGTAGCAAATATGGTCAATTATTTACCTTGAAGTGACAGTCTTCTCTGTTCATTTTTGAGAAAATGTCTGCTGAGTACCCAATCTGAATAACCATAGTTAGTCAGTCATTCTTTCCAGTAAAAAGTGTTACCTGAAAAAAGCAGAAAGTTCACCTCAAGTGATTGCACAAGTACTTTTTCTTGAGATAACCATCATTCTTCAGTATGCAGCAGAAATGTTTCATGTATAGTTCCCATTTCTTCACAAAGAGTGTCAAAAAGATGTGTTCTCAAGAATCAAGATTTAATACAATCATCTTTAGTCACACTGGCTTTTATTCCCAACTGCAAGTGTGTGACAGTGAAGAGTATAATGAACCGCTTGGACAGTTTGGTGCTGCTGCCTTATTCGTACTAAGCTCCAACAGCTTTACCAACCATTGCTTTTGTGTCATCAGTGGAAATATCAGGAGAAACCATGAGATTCAAAAAAGTTAGTCAACACTGAAAATTTAACCATCACCTGTGTTTGTTGCCAAGTATTCACATAGAAGGTCTTCTACAATTAGTTGGTGGAGACATGGGATGTATACAAGAAAATAGCATATTTCCCCCATGTATGTTGATTCATTTATTCGTGAGGCAGAAGTACAATTCTTCAGGCAAGAGATTAACTCAGTCTTCATGTTTGCAGCTAAATCTTTAATTTGACGAATGACTGTATTGTTGTAAAGTGGCAGTGCCCAGGATTTCTGTCACCGACTTTCCATCCAGCAGGCATTCAGGAATGTCAGTGTACAAGGCTGTGTATCTCTCAGCTATTGTGTGCACTTCTCTGGCCAAGGCAGTATGATAACTCACCCTGTAAGATGCATTAATAACTTGTTCATTTCTACTTTGAAAAGCTGTAAGAAACTATTTTTAGCTTTGAAAGAGCTTATCATGTCTACATTTAAAATACACAATTCCTTCTTCTCTAAACTCTGAATGATTGGTCTCAAAATGATGCTACAACTTACCCAGTGTTATAATACTATTCAAAAAGTTCTGTTGCATAAGACATAATAAGATAAACTATTAACATCTATAGAGTTGAGGGAAATTTAGATTTCATCATATTTTTGTTTCTTATTTTGTTTTGCACAGTTTCTTTGGAGTATATCCCTCCCTTCCACTAGCCAGAGAACTCTCTGGCATGTTAGTTTCATTTTTTTTTTCAGTATTTTTAGATATAGATGGTACAGCTATGGGTTGAGAAAGAAAGTCTTCTAATTTATCTTTCTTAAGCTGATGATGAATCTTTGAATATAAGAAAAAAAATATTGTAAAGAAACGATCTTAAAAAAAAGAAAAAAAGAAATCATCTTATATATGAGAATAAAATATTATTAAATTTTAAAATAATTTTAAAATTATAAAATTATAATATTTAGAATTATAAAATTATAAAATTTAGAAAGTTTTTTTGGTGAGGAAGATTGGCCCTAGCTAACATCTGTTGCCAATCCTCCTCTTTTTGCTAAGGAAGATTAGCCTTGAGCTAACATCTGTGCCTGTCCTCCTCTATTTTGTTTGTAGGACCCTGTCACAGCATGGCTTGATGAGTGGTGCAGAGGTCTGCACTTGGGATTCTAGCCTGCAAACCCTGGGCCACCAAAGCGGAGTGTGAACTTCACCACTATGCCACCGGGCTGGCCCCTAGAAAAGTTTTTGAAAACATTTTAAAATATTATTGCAGGGCCGGCCCCGTGGCTTAGCGGTTAAGTGTGCACACTCCGCTGCTGGTGGCCTGGGTTCAGATCCCGGGTGCACACCGACGCACCGCTTCTCCTGCCATGCTGTATGCTCCACATACAGCAACTAGAAGGCTGTGCAACTATGACATACAACTATCTACTGGGGCTTTGGGGGAAAAAAAATTAAAATATTATTGCAAACAAGATAAAGTATACTTATTTCTTGTGTTTCCACATAGGTGCAGAGAAAACTTCAGAATTTCAAAAAACAATTTATTGGACAATAATACTGAAATTCTAGCAAGTATAACTGAAGATAGCTAGAGAACAGAGTAGAAGTCCAAGAACGGACTGAGTTAATCTTTTGAAAATGCACATATTGGGCCGGCCCCATGGCTTAGCGGTTGTGTCGTGCGCTCTGCTACTGGCAGCCCGGGGTTCGGATCACGGGCG